AAAAAAAAAAAAAAGAAAAAAAAGATTAATTTCATCTTCACAAAAATCCTAAAAAAAAAAAAAAATGAGATGGCTTGGTCAGTATTCAAGGAGTACTTTCCCTCTAAAATTCTGTGAATCCATAGTTCAGAAAAGTATCTCAGTGAATGGCACAGATAATGAATGCTCAGAAATATACTTTCCAGAACATTATATTAATTAAGTCAGAGTGGAGGAGTTTTAAAGTATTACTCTGTGTTCTTGAGTTAATTAATCTTTGTCAAATAGGTATTGAAAAATTCCTAAAGTAGTCACTGTGGTAAGGTAGCCGGGGACAGGAAGAGGGAATGTTGGCAAAGAAGTCTGTCTTACCTTTCCACTCATGCTTTCACCTTCAGTAGTGCCCTAATCATACAGTAGTTCTGCAGTCTGTTTCATCAGCTCTGATAACCCTGCCCTGCTTGTTGCCCTCTCATGTTCTCAGACTCAAAATCAGATTTGTGTTCCAGTTATGGCATGTTTTATTGGTGGGATGTTTTCCTTCTTAGTGGTACATAAAATAATGGAGCATCCTCTAACTGATGGCCTCTTAGATTTAGGAAGTGTATTTACAGTTCAAGTCATGCCAGACTTCATAATATCTCATACTTTTTAAAAACAGAAACCAAAAACTCGAACATCATGTCCTCAGTGAGGTCACATCCCTGTTAGTAAAAAAGGAAAAGCATTTCTTCCTCAAATGGAATGAAATATTAAACACTGTCCTGGCCTCTGGGCATTATACAGGTAATTAAAATTTAATCTTAAAAAATTTTAACACAGTGCACCTTAGCAATAAGATTTTTCTGATTTTAAAGATGATGTTAAAACTTATTTTAAAAATACATTTCCTTGGCCAGTATCACTTGGTTTCGATTCTGACTACAGTTCTTTTCCTCATTCTCCGTGGGCAGTTCACTGCGACTCCCTGGGGTTCCAGGTACCTGTTCTTTGCTTGTTTCTCTTTCTTTCTTCCAGCTAGACTGACTTTCTAGTAGCCAGAGCCAGGTGTTGGTTCTCCAAACATCCTCAGGCTCTTTCTACTACCTCTTAGCATCTACTTTCTACATGGTGGTGGTTGAATAAATAGACTTTGTGATTGATGGAGGTGAAGTTGAAAGTGATTATTTCTTACAATGTTAAATATTTTCAGCTTTTGAGAAAAGGGAGCTTGTCTCTGGATTTGAATTCCAAGCCTCTGACCCAGAAGAAAAAGGTCTGTGGAGTTACATGGTCATTTATGTTGCTGGGATAGCTGGTTCCTCACTGTAAACCCTGGTCTTGGGACCACCTGTGCAATTGATTCTATTCTCAGTCAGCAGTGGTGTTGTTAATTCTTAGGGTGCGGTTCTAATTGGAATTTAAGAATTCATGTTAGCTGACAGTAACTGAACTTCCCACAGAGCTGCCCAGAGACATGAAATAACTCCAGTGTCTGACTCTTTGCCGGCAGCTCATCCCAGTTGGTTGTGCCTGGGTAGTAATGCTGACTGACCTCATGCCTGTGGCTGCACCACATTGCATATTTTAAAGCAGTGAGACTTGGTATGGCCAGCTGAGCTTGCTTGTGTAATGATTTTAGCCCAGTGTTGGGCCCTTTGTAGCTTCTTAGAGGACATCCTTTAGACAGACTTCAAGGTCGAGGCCATCCAGTTATCATTAAAGTTTTGTTTTCTTCCTGAACTTCACATTTTTCCTTCCTCACATGATTTTTATATAACTTTCTCTTTCAGAATTATTAATATGTTTGAGTAACTGTTGAATCTTGGTTGTCTGCTTCTCAACATGTTCTCTTTGGTTTGTGAAAGTTTGTAGTGTACTTCAGTGCTTGCACTGACTTTGTCTCTAGGATGACGATTCTTTTCATATTTGACTTGTCTCGGCATGGAGGGACCTTTGCATGTGGTCCCTCCATGAATGCTGTGAAGGGTCCCTGGCTCAGAAGTTCCACTCAGGGAGGCAGGGGCTCTCCCTTTGTAGTATTTTCAATTGACCAAGTGACTTCTGTTCACTGTTGCTGATACAACTCATTTCTTTTTTAAAATCTGGGCTTTAACACCTCAAAGGTAATTTTTTATTTCTATGTGTAGGTCATATGTTTGTGTATGTATGTAATGACAAAAGAACTTTATTGAAAGGAAGACAGGTTCAAAAAGATTCCATTTCCACTAGTCTATCAGGAAGAAGGACATCAAGTGAAATAGAACTTCACACACACTAGAACCTTGCACAAAGCCTGAATTGTGGAACTGGTCCCCTGTGACATGTTGTGACTGAGGTCGTCCCATTACAGAGTCATAAGCCCCTCCCTTACCTCCTTTGATAGTGAGGGGCTGCCATGAGTACAGCCCCTCTTCCAGGAGGAAGGCGAGGTATACATACCCATGTCTCTGGACAAGGGTTTGGGGAGTCTGGTCGCCTGCGTGAGGCATCCCCTCCACAGCCAGCCTCAGAGTACAGAAGCGCTGCATTCCCAGTGATAGCAGTTGCTTTCTAGTGGGTGTTAGAGGCCAGTGTCATCCCCAGGGGGTATTGTCAAAACTGGGATGGCTATGTTTTATTCCTTAGATGTGATTACACTATATCAAAATGCTGAAAATGTTGAAAAATGTTAGATGATCGTTCTTGGAGATAGCTATCCAGTAACCAGTGGATTCCTTGTCAGACTTTCTTTCTCTTGTGTAGTCATTTTGCCTTAAAGTAAAAGTTTAAAGCAAGGAGAACCAAACCAAAAACTTTGTCATATAGAAGCATTTTCCTACTTTTATTTCAAAGCACAGTAAGTCTAATCAGTTTCTGTCATGTATTGGTAGCTGCAAAGAACTGTTCTGGCAAGGTTAAAGAATTTTCTCTGATTTTCTTCTCTGCTGCTGACTTTGTTTTGCTCTGCAGGACTATAAGGCTGATGAAGACCCAGCATTATTCCAGTCAGTCAAGACCAAGAGAGGCCCTTTGGGACCCAACTGGAAGGTACTGGATGCTGACCTTTCTGACAGGCAGAGCCTTGGCAACAGAACACTTGACAGGTTCCGAGTCTGGAAGCGCTGGTGACGTTTAAGTGAAAAATAGAAATGGCACAAAAATAGTTTTACTTGCGATAAGGACTTACAGCCAGTTGCAGTTGGCCAGCAAGTCTGTGCTGCATTAACAAACAGAGCATAGCCAGACTGTCACTTTCAGCACAGTGCTACTCTGATAACTCTGAAAAGAGACACGTGATTTAGTCTTTGGAGATTGTAATGTTCTCTTCTGAGACTTGAAGCAGTGCAAAAACCCATGTTAAATGAAGGTTTGTAGTATAAATTTAGTCTTAGTAAGAACTGAACAAGTTCTCTTCATCTGTGCTCATGGTCTTAGCCTTTTAATAGTTATTTTGGGGAAAGACGGATACCAGAGAACCATTTTGATGGCGGGTGGTAGTTTCTAATTTAGAGCACATCCTTACTTTACTCACAGAAATAAGAAAAGCAATGTCAAGGTGATCATTTAAATTGCCTTAGAAATATAAATGCATTTTGCAGATAACCACTGAACTAAATGACAAACACTTCAAAAAGGCTTAATGTGTTGATGGCAAGTTATTACAGCTATTTGACAGGAGAAGAGGAGCATAAAACCCTAAACATGCTCAGGGCAGATTTTCAACCCGGGGATTGTACTTGGTAACCAGTCTGTCTCTGCTGAAGCCAGTCAGAGGTCATCAGTAAATGTTGCCTAGGTGCAAGTTGTTGCCTGCAGGTAGAGGATTACTATAACAACCCCACAAATAACCCATTGAGTGGTTCTTCATGGGAGTCAGACTATTTTGTGGACTGTTTTGCACATCAGTTACAGTAAAGAAGGAGTCTGACTTTGTTCTGTAAGAAATGATTCATAATTATCTTAGTTTCACCTTTGTTCTCTGGGTAGAGTTCAGTTCAAGATTCCCCCAATTTAATGGCCATGACCAGAGACTTTTAACTTTAATACCCAGGAAGTGATACATGTCACTTACAAATTAAGGAATAAATTCAGTGTGCATGATATAAATTGAGTTCATTGGATTTAAATTTTTTCCCCATCCTTATGCATATTTCTAGCTGTGGACTTTAGAACTCACCCTGAGTCAGAGGAGAAGCCCTTCTTTGAGATTTAACACCAGCCTTTTAAGAGAGAGCGCTGTGCTAGAGCAGCAGGCAGGTGTCTCCTCCTAGGTTGTCTTATCTGCTGAGAGGCCGTCTTGCTCCAGTAAGTACTAACTTCAGCTAATGACACTTTACGGGAAATAGAGAAGCATGAAGTTGAGACTTGGGTGAATTAAATTTTAAGTGTTCTTAAATCGGCAATTTTTCAAGTATAAACTTGAAAAGACAATACTGCACTATGTGGTGGGCTACTTAATTTGGACTCAGAAGTTTCCTGTCACAAGTCCCAGCCAGTTTTACAACAGTCAGCAAAGGAGTTTGACACTAAGACCTTTGCCTGATTTCTAACCTCTTAGGAACTTAAAATATGATTTTTATTCCTTTTTTATTTACAGTTTTTACTCTTAACATTGGTCTTTTATTATCATTATTTAAAATTGTAGAATAGGTTTAATTTTTCAGAAATAACATGAAACATTGTTTCAGGGTGTATTATAGTAGTCTCCCCCCACTGTGTGTGGGGGGTAAATAATAGCTTGTTATTTCTCTGGGAGAAGGTAGCTGATGGTGAGACCTTTCTACCCACTTGTCTGTTGGTGGTTAACTTTAGGCAGATGATAGCAGATGCAGCTACTCTCATTAAAAGGAGTTACTGTTTAAATTGAACTTTAGTGAGGGACCGTAACCCTACAGATAATTAGAGTAGTCAGGAGGAACTGCAGCAGTTCCCTCTTCCCTGGGGTTCGCTTTGCACGTTGTAATGACCCTCAGTCAACTTTGGACTGCAAGCATGCGACCCTCTTTCTGATACCGTCCGAGGGTCGTAGTAGCCCAGTGCTGTATCATAATGCCTGTGTCCTTCACTTCATGTCGTCTCATCATGTAGGCTTTTTATCATCTCGTCATCACCGGAAGAAGGGGTAATACAATATATTGTATATGTAATACAATAAGGTATTTTGAGAGAGAAAGAGAGACCACTTCATATAAATTTTATTATATCTATTCTTTTATTAGCTGTTGTTTAATCTCTTACCATGCCTAATATATAAATTAAACTTTATCATAGCTATGTGTGTATAAGAAAAAGAAGCATATGTAGGGTTCAGTATATCAGTGGTTTCAGCCATCCACTATAGGGTGGTCTTAGAATGTGTCCCCCACAGGAAAGAGGGGACTTGATAATCAAGCCACCTGCGCACTGCTGTGAAGGAGAACGAGGAGTAAGAAGGACGACATAGACGATAGCACCACATAGAGGAAAATAGGAACCTCTGGCTGACTTGATCGTATCAGCTTCCCTTATAATTGCTTCACAGGCCCCGTTTGTCCATAACTGTTATTCGTGGCACTGATGGTGGCACTAGGGAAGGATGGTAGTCCAGGATTTCTGTGCTTTTAAAATAGGGAAGAAATACATGGTAATCAGGGCAAAAGGAAGAAGTCCTGTTCTGGCCCTGCTTGCCGAGGCCAGTGTGTCCAAGCACCCCCGTGGGAGCGCTGCAGGGGGCCTCCCAGTAACAGAAGTGTGCTCATTCCTTCTTTAGAATTCCTTCCTTCCTTCCTTCCTTCCATTCCTTATATTAACAAGAATTTGGTAATTCTCATTAACACTAGTTGTACATTTCTGGTGGTCAGGGAATCTGTCATGAGTTGTGACCTGAGTAACTTAATCCTAACTCTAAGCCTGAATTTCCAACCTCTAAAGTGGGGTGATAACTAGTAACAAGTAACAACAAAGGTTGTTGTGAGGGCTAAATAAAGTAATGAGTGTTATGTTCCCAACCCAGCAAGTGCATAATAAACTGTAGCTTTATCTTTGTCATCATGCTTTGGTTTGGAAATTAAAAGCCTTTATCACCTCTGAAGGTTGAGATCTATAAATAAGCTAGCTACCCTGTTTCTGCTGGTAAGTCCTTTTCTCTGTCTAGGATCCAGGGGTTCCCCTGGTTCTAGTGTCTGGGGATTGTCAAACACATCCTGGTCCACCTGTCTGTATGGCTCTGTGTGTTTAGTGAGCGCATGACTTAGGTCAGCTAGCAAGCAGAGGCCACACAGTTCCGAGAGCCTCTGCTAGGAGGGGATTTCTATGGGGTAAATTTTTTTATTTTTCCACATTGGTTAAGAATACAGACCTTTTTTTTAGCCTATGATATGATGCATACCTTTTTTTTTTTTTTTTTAAGATGCAGGCCTTAATTGTATATTCTCTGAAAAAAGAATTTTTAAAATCTGAGCACATGAATTTTATTTTGGGTCCAACACTCAAGTGACTGTGCATAGTAATGGGAGAGTGATTTATAACCTGAGAAAGATTTTTGCTTCAAAGCAGAATTGTGCATTTCTCTTGGGTATAAATGTTTGCTTCTCTGTAGCACCTCACAGGCATGTGTATGTGTACACGTGTACATGTTGGGTTTTGTGTTTTGGGGCCTTTGTGTACATTGTGATATTGGTATGATCACCTATTCTGATGGTTTAGCAAAAAACAATTTACATGTGGATTCCTTTAGCTTTCTAGGTTGCCTCCTCTGATTTAAGGAATTGTCATTTTAACAAACTGAAGCACCATTTTTTTAAGATTATGGTGTCATTTTTATCCTGTTGCAAAGCCTCATTTCTTTCTTTTCATTTAATCCAGACGCCTCATGGAAATTTAAGCTTCTGTGTCTATATATGTGCAACAGTTCGTAACTAGCATATGAAGGTCTGTCTCTATAGGAGGCTTTGCCAGAGTTCCTGGCCCTTAGCAGTACCTAATGTGCCTCAGAAGACTCAGCCAGTTCTGGAACCTTGGGATATAAGGGGAGCAGATCAGCTAAAGAAGTCAGGCCAGAAGTTAGTCCAGAAGTTGTGGTGATTTTTATGTTATCTTTACATATGTGCTCCTCCTAATCATAAAGGTATGTCCCGTTCATCCTCTGTGTTAGTTAGCTCTGGTCTGAGCAGAAGCTCTGGCAGTTGAAACTTGGCCTTTTCTGAACAGTTTGTCATGCTGTTTATCTGCTCAGTCAGGTTTAAGACTTAAGAATTATTGCAGAGGCCATTCTGGATCCTCTGAGTCAGGGGAAGGCAGCTGTTGGTGCGTTACAGGGACTCTGATTTGTTTCCTGCTGTGCTACCAAGACTCCTTTCTCTTCCCAGTTCGCATCTGTGAAAAAAAGGTGGTAGCCATTCTTGTCGGTGGCCTGAAGGAACCACAAGGGTCTGTTAGCTGGGATGGGAAGTATGGAAGTGGTGGGGGAGCGAGAAACTGAAGCCCAGCTGTGGAAATCTCTTTGACATAGAGACTGGCAGGAAAGCAGCCCAGAGAGTCCTCAGGAGGCTAATGACAAGTCCCCAAGAAGAGGCGGAGGTGCGTTGGTGAGCCTTCATCTAGACATGGCTGTGAGTCCCAGGGAAGGATGTTAGATCACGTCCCTTCCCTGTAATCTCACCACTGAAACCCCATTGTGGGTGGCATAAAGAGCCTTACTGATTAGCTTCTGGTTAGACCACGTTGTGGATTATATATAATGTAGCAGCCCTTAAAAAGCATGGCTGATTTTTTTTTTTCAGTGCCTGGTTTTTAATTCAGTGTAAAAAATAAGTACTTAACACTTAGTTTGTGTTAATTATGCAACCCTACAGAAGACACCAGAAAAGCTGTTGCATGTCTTGAAGAAGCGCAGTGTTCTGGGGTGAGACACGATTACTTCTACCCTTGTCATGGATACTGAATCCTCTGTTCGCAGGCAGAGCCAGAGGACTCAGGCGTGGACAGATGGTGCGTCTCACTCGGTTCAAGAAGTGATCTGACAGCACGGGCGTCTTGCAGGGTGCCTTCTTGAGTTCCATTTAAAGGGT